TCATTGCCCCTAGCGCGTTTGCCGCTGGGCACAATCTGGTGCTTGCCTGGTGGATTTGTGTGTGACGCGATTTTGTGACGTGTTTTTGTGTGCAAGGAGGTCCCAGTTTGACTAGGGAAGGTTTGGCGAAGGTTTTTCTGTTTGCGAGGGGGCAGGCTGCTTTGGCTTTGTTTCGCAATTCCAATTTTGAGACTCTGGTTCCTCGTCACTTTCGCAGCCAATCGGAACCCTCTCGCCCTCTCCCGAGCCGCGCAATGCAAATCTGTTTTTCGCAGCTTGCAACCTGGGACCCGGGCTTTAAATTCGTTGACCCATAATGCAGATGAACCAAAAGAGTGTGAGTCAACGGGCTGCGAAAAAAGCGAGCTGTTGATGAGAGTGCGAAAAGGGCACGAAGCCGAGCGGAAAAAAAGGTGCTGGCAAAATACGAAGTTGCGCAACCAGCGCAAAACACCCATGGGAACATGGGTGGGAGCGGGAGACAAGGGAAGGGTTGCGCAGGGAAAACGAAAGACTAGCGGGGAACGGGGGGGGGGGGAACACATCAGAAGTTTGTTTTTGCAGATTTGAATTGCAGACTCGAAAGGGGGCGCAGGCGGAAACGGGGGGGGCAGCACAAACAGAAGTTGCAAATTGCAGACTCAAACGGGGGGACGGGGAGAAAGAGGGGGGGGGGGGGGGGGGGGGTTTGGGGGGGGGGGGGCGCACAAATGAAAAGTTGCGAAGTGCAACTCAAACGGGGAGGAAACGGGGAGGGGGGCAGCACAAACAGAAGTTGCAAATTGCAGACTCAAACCGGGACAGGGGGAAACGAGGGGGCGCGCAGAAACGAAACTTGCAAATTGCAGACTCAAACGGGGGGCGGGGGGAAATTGTGCACCTGTTGATGTAGCTGCTGGCTTTTTCTCCCGGAAGCATTTGCATTGTTGTAAGTTGACTTAAAGCCCGAGTCTAGAATGGTTTGCTATCAAGTTCAGGAATCCTGAACTTGTTTTCGTCCAATAGAGGGTAACGTAGTAAACGCCATTTGAACGTCGCAACTCTCAGGGAACAAGCAGCAGCTCGCGAATGCCGTTGAAAAGGACAAACCCGTAATTACTGTAGCGCTCAGTATTCTTGAGTTTCGCCTGTGACCATTCTGAACGCATTTTTGTGGGGGTCTCATGTCACACATTGTTCCCCCCCTTCCCCCGCCCCCCCACACTGTTCATGCGCTGTTGAACTCGGATGTTGCCGACGAAATTCCGTGCTGCGATCACAGTTCTGCTATTTCGCCGAATTCTGGGTTCGTTGGGGGAACTTTGCCGAAATTACTTTCGCCCAGTTTTTTTGGCACTGTTTTCATGCCCAGTATTCATGGGTTTTTACCATTCTAGACTCGGGCTTTAACAGCATGCTCTGTGTGACGGAATCTTGTGCTTGGTACAACCTTCGCAGGTAATCCCCGGCGTAGAAGGCTGGAGCGAGTGAAGGTTTGAAGCAAAGAACTCCCAACTGCTCTTCAGGTGAAAGATTCCGCACCGGTAGTTTATAGGCCATAAGCGAATTCTTGTAATGACGTGCTTGTTCTTCGGTCGTTCCTGTCTCTGGATAACGGATTGAACCGTCGAAATATCCCCAGATACCAGAAGATCGCGCGAGGAGTTCGAACTCGAACTAACCAAGTATAGAAGTTGCGGCCATAAGACTAAGTTGAGGTCTTCAGCTTGGAGATATTTAGGGAATCCGCTTGATTTACGACAGCTTTTGCGGCAAAGGGTCTTTCTTTTGTCATAAGAAGTTGTTGCTTTTGTGGTTGTTGTTGTTGCTGTGTTTGAACAGGTCACCCATGGAAGGCAAAAGATCCAGCGGATTCATCTCCAGGGGCTGAAGGCCCAGCGGCAACAACAAATCTTGCATAACTAGAGTTATCAAGGATCATAGAAGCTGTAGAATGCGCTGGAGCTTGTTGTTGTTGGTGAGTGGATTAATGAGCCATCAAAGAGGTGAAGTCACATAGATCGTCACTAGAAAGTTGAGAAGTAGAAGCATTCCTAGTTGAATTTCCTGTCTTAGCAGCTGACATAATTATAGATCTATGGCTAAATAATCATGAGTAATACAGGCATATTTATAGTCTAGGAAGTACCAATTCGGGATTTACCTATTCGTAGTGTATTGCGACTCTCCGCTTGAGATGACTAGTGATTGTTTGTGTGACTGAGAGTGGCGTGACCCTTCGGGTGACTATACGCGCGAACTCACTGTTCACGCGTTGACTCGCTTCTGCTGACGCTATCATGCGCGTCCTTCCATACTGCGCGACTAGTACAGTCTAAGTGTAATATCATAAATGCATTAGTAAACTCTGTCGAGTATGTTAGAATACAGGATTGAACTAGAACAAGAGAGTACAGCGGAGATATAGGGTTGGAGTTGCACTCTCTAAGAACACAAGTCTATCTAGCCTATAACTTCTACATAGAACCATATGTATAAGTTGACACACCCCCTAGGCTAGATAAGGGGCAGTGCAGAGCAAGGAACACACATCTCAAGGTGGCACTACTAGTCCAACCTCTAAGACAGGGGCCCTAAGACCGGTCAGCAAGAGTACAAACAAGACAAGAGCAAACCAGGGTGGCACTACTAGTCCGACCACTGGAACAGAAGCCACAAGGCCAGTCTGGAAGGTTTTTTTTTAGAGGAGTACGCAATCAAGGACCTAGCAAGTGAGAGTCTACAAGAAATAGACCAAGCTGCAAACAGTGCCGCTGATGATCTTTAGGTGCAAGCGCCTTAGTAAAGATATCAGCTGTGTTGGCACCGGAGGCCAAGTGTACTACGCGGGCATGGCGACGCTGCTGTAGCTCGCGCATGAGGAAGTACCACAGCTGCATGTGCTTCGCTCTGCCCTCAATTCGTGGCTCCTGACACATGGAGGATCATTGGCCCTGTTGTCAGCATACAGAACTGGGGCAGAGCTAGGCCGCTCACCTAAGTCAGTGAGCAAGAAGGTCAGCCAGCGGAGCTCCTGTGCCGCCATGGCACCGGCGTAGATCTCAGCCTTATAGCTAGACTGGGCAATAGACGAGGAGCGAGTGGACCTCCACGAGATGGCACCCGGACCAAGGCTAGAGCAGTAGCCCCGGAAGGACCCGAGGGTCTCAGCGTCGTCTGCCCAAGAAGCGTCTGTGTGCCCGGTAAGGACTACTGGCCTGCGTCCTCTCAGCACTAGCCCCATGCCCGATGTACTCGCTAGATAACAAAAAACCCTCTTAGCTGCCGACCAGTGCTGTGGTCGGTGTCTGCCTATGGCCACAAAGCGAGCCACGATGCTGAGAGGGTATGCGAGATCAGGACGAGTGCAAGTCATCAGGTACATGAGGCAACCCACCAGCTTTGCGTAAGGACCACTAGGCTCTACAGACTCCTCACGAACTGGAGCAGAGAGCATGTTGTCTATAGGCAGAGGTGTGGGCTGTGCGGAGGAGAACTAAGAACCAAACCTCTAAAGGACCTGGCGCACCAAGTGTGACTGTGTGAGAGTGATGGTGCTTGCTGCTCTGTCCCTGGAGACCTGCAGGCCAAGGTAGCGGCGCAGCTCTCCTAGGTCACTACAGGTGTGTCTCCTCAGCAGCTCGGCCTTCACGGAGGCCACCGCGTTTCTGTCTGCAGTAGTGAAGACCAGGTCGTCTACGTAGAAAAGGATGTAGAACGGAGTATGGCCAGCACGAACGAAGAGCGAAGGGTCAGCAGAGGACGGAAAGAGCTGCAGGTTAGCTAGCGTAGCACGTAGCGTGTCATGCCACTCATGGGGTGCCTGTCAAAGGCCGTAGACTGGGCGTCGGAGGAGCCACTGGGTCCCAGGAGGAAAGCTACCGGTGAAGCCCTGAGGATGGCGCATGTAGACCTGCTCGTGCAGGCTGCCCTGAAGAAAAGCAGTGGAGAAGTCGAGGGATTGGATCTCGTAGTCACACTGTGCTGCTACGTATAGCAGCGTCCGAAGAGTAGTCATCTTCGGGGTCGGGGTGAAGGTCTGAAAGAAGTCCACCCCCTCTCGCTGACTGAAGCCTCTAGCCACGTAGCGCGCCTTGCACACAGTCGACTCTCCTGGAGGGCGCTTCACCTTGAAGAGCCACCGGCCATCGACTACGTTCACCCCAGGTGGGGGAACTTCGTCGACGTAGGTGCTGGTGGATCTCCAAGATGCCATCTCCTGCTCCATGGCAGCTATCCACTGAGAGGCCCAGGGTCCCGAGGTCGCCCAAGCGTAAGTGCGAGGGGTCGGGATGTCCAAGGCTTCGGGGTCACTCTTAGGGACTAGCAGCATGGAACAGAGATGAGGAGCGGCCTCTGACAGGAAAGCAAGCTCGTACTGCATGTCCTCTAGGACGTCACTTCCAAGGACAGGAGCACCCCCGACGGACGGAGGACTAGCAGGGTCAAAGACCAGAGCGGTGGCGTAGTCAAGGCGGCGGGTAGAGGCGAAGTCAGTGACAGCAGCGACAAGAGCGTCAAGACTCGAGACAGGAACAGCCGGGTCAGTAACATGGGAAGCAAGGACCCGCGGAACAAGCGAACGAGCGGCACGAAGGTAGTCAGACAGAGGGGGAGGTGCGACAACAAGTGACGACTGAGGAGGCGAAGGCAGGAGGGGAGGATGAGACGTGTGGGAACAAAGCAACATAGAGTGAGAACGCGGAGCAGGGGAGACGGGACGAGTACGAGAGGGACGGCGAGACCAGACGTGAGACGGAGGCGTCGGGTCAGGAGACAGAGGAGGAGTAACAGGAGGGGAACGAGGTGGGAAACGGGCCGGGGACGAGTCCGGTGGAGGAAACACAGGGCCGTGGAAAGGAAGGGGAGGAGGCTTTGGGGAGGCACAGGTAAGCGGTTGGGGGACGGAAGGCCGAGCAGGCGAAGGGCGAACACCGGTGGCGACTGCTGCGGCTGCTGCTCGACGCTGACACCTGGACTGCCAGCTACACCGCGGCTACCTCCGGACCACTCCACCCCAGCACCCCCAGTACGAGAACCCTCTCCAGCACTGGTGCCACCCCCGAGCCCGCCGAGACAAGCCACGATAGGAGCCCCAGTACTAGCACCCTCCTCAACGCCAGCACCCCTAGAGTCCACAAACAGCTGCTGCTACTGCGGCAGCAACGGCTGCTGCGGCGGCGACGGCGATGGCTGCTGCCATGGCGGCGACTGCGATGGCGGAGGAGGAGACACCGGGGGAGAGACAGGCGGCAAGAACTGTGCCGCAGGGCCACCTGGGTCAGCCGACTCCTAGACCGGGACAACCGATGGGAGGGGAGTGACGGGAGACACACAAGACAAAGCAGGATGGGGAGGAAGGGGAATAGGGGCGACCGGAGGAGTGGGGACCAGAAATAGGGGAGGGGTAACTGGGAGACCTCGGTGGGGAAAGCGGTGGTAAAAGAAGACAGAATCGTCGAAAGTGGCGTCACGGGAGTGAAAGAAACGGTGAGACGGTGGGTGGTAAAAGTGCAAGTCAGACGAGTCCAGGGGGAAATCGAAGAAGACACAAGGGGACAGTGCGGGCAGTGAGCTTGTCCGTGCCAGAGGCACAAACGTAAGCGAGGCAGCCCTAGACGTGGAACGCGGACGAGTCACCAGGGAACCCGGTCCAAAGAAGGGTCGGCGAAACCTGCGGCCGCTGGAAACGCGGCCAGAGGTTTAGCTGGTGAGCGGCGGAGCGAACGGCGAACGGCCCCAAAAATTGGGGTGCACCGGCATGAATCATGGAGGTACGAGCCACCTCCATGACCAAACCGATGCATTGCTTAGCGACCCCATTTTGCTGCGGGGAGTGCGGTAGGGTGTACGACTGGGTGATGCCCTCTGCATGACAGATTTGTCCAAGCCGATCGGAGGCAAACTCGCCGCCACGGTCGGAGTGGAGACATAACACAGGGAGACCGCAGTGGAGGCGCGCAGCTACGACCCACGGGATAAGAACGTCAGGCACGTCGGCATTCTGCTCCAAGGGAAACACCATGGTGTAGCGCGTGTAGTCGTCAACGAGCATGAGAAAGTAGCGCTCGCAATGCGGTCCAGGGACGGGGGCTGGGCCCCAGACGTCCAGGTGCAGGGTCTAAAGGGGTGCAATGGCATCACGAAGCGAGGAGGAGTGAGGAGCATGGCACAGCCGGCCCTCGACGCAGGGCGTGCACGGCAGCGCAGGCGAGGAAGGGAGGGCAGGCAGCGACGCAGGGAGACCTAGGACGAGACCGTGCTGGGACATATGACGTAGACGCTGGAGTGCGGGGTAACCTAGGCGGTGGTGCCTCAGAAGGGACCGGTGAGTGACCGACCGACACGAGCACGCAGCGGCGACCTGGGTAGGCGCAGGACCCGGGGAGGACGGTCCACCCGAGGGGGAAATAGTGTCCAGCATAAACAGGCCAGACACCGGGTCCTGGGGGAATGTCGCAAAGGGAGAACCTGAGGCGGCCTCGGTACAGACGGCGTACCGCTCGTGACACGGAAACATAGTGGTGACGCCGAGATCCTGAAGTCAGCTGACACCAACTAAATTCCGGGAGAACGAGGGGATGTGCAAGCCTTTGAGGGAACCCGAGGGAACCGCTTTACAAGGAAGGGTAGTGTAGCTGTGAGCAACTACAGGACCAGAGGAGGGGTCAGTAAGTGCGACAGCTACAGGTGCGGCAAGCGGCGTAAGCGCAGCGTGGTCGCGGAAAAAGCTGGCAGATGCACCAGTGTCAAGTGTGAAGGACAGTGAAGCGGTAGCGGCGGGCAAAGTAGGAGCAAGGGTGGAGCCTAGGCTAGACAAAGCAAACGGTCCTACGCCTGACGCAGCGAGGTGGTCTGTACTACACAAAGGTGCTACGCATAAGCTAGAGAACACACGGTAATAGGATCCGAACACACTAGAAGCATTAGCATACAGAGAATGCAAGGCAGAACTAATCTGATCCATGTCTAAGTCAAAAATAGGCATACTGTGGTGCAGCAGACTGGGCTTGTCAAGGAGGTCCGGGGCCGTGCCGAAGTGGCGATGGAAGAGGTCGTCAAGGCGGCGGAAGCAGCGTGCGGCGGCACACAGTGCCACGGAGGGGCCCGGTCTGGAGCTGGTACTGGCAGCCCACAGCACCGAAGCCACCAGTAGACGCCGAGCTGCGAGGACCACCACCGCGACCACCACCTCTAGGGGCTCCTGGCCACCCCGGCGGGAGGCGGGCCCACGGCTGCTGTGGCTGCTGCTTCTGCTGTGACTTCTGCTGCTGCTGCTGCGTCTGGTGCGGCTGTTGTTGCTCCTGGACACTTGCCCCAGCCCCCTCGTCAGAGCCACTGTCTCCGCCACCACCACCACGCCCTCCCTTGGGGCCGAGACGGCCCCTACGCTATCGCTGCAGCTGCGGGAAGGCCGCTGCTGGGGTCTAAGTGGCAGGAGCAGCTGTAGCGACGGCGGCGGAAATGTTAGCGTGGGAGGGAGCACAGCCCTGAAAGATAGGGACCGCCGCAACACCGCTCGACTGAGCGATAGTGCGTGGCGAGTCTCTATCTCAGAAAGGGCAGTGACAAAGGTGGTCAGGGTGAGGTTACCAGGGTGCTGGCTAAGGAAGTGGTCACTGGCAATGGCTAAGTGGTCAGGCAGGTGCATGGCAATAAGGTATGAGGGGCAGGCTAGGCGAAAGGGGCCGGCTAGGTGCGAGGGGCCGGCTAGGTGCAAGGGGGCCCGGCTAGGCGGAAGGGGCCAGCTAGGCGCGAGGGGCTGGCTAGGCGCGAGGGGCCAGCTAGGCGTGAGGGGCCAGCTAGTCGCGTGAGGCCGTCAGGACGCTAAGGGGCCGGGACGGCGGGCGCGCTAGGGGCCAGCGAGGTGCGCTAGGGGCAGGCGGGACGCTAGGGGCCGGCGGGCGCGCTAGTGGCCGGCGGGGCGGTAGGCTAGGGCTAGGGGCGGAAGCGGGTGGGCGGACCTAACTGACTCATGATACCATGTTAGAATACAAGAATTAACTAGAACAAAAGAGTACAGAGGAGATATAGGGTTGGAGTTGTACTCTCTAAGAACAGAAGTCTATCTAGCCTGTAACTTCTGCATATAACCATATATTGTAATAATTTGACACGTGTTGTAGGAGACTAAGTGTAGAATCTGCAAACACAAATACTTGGAAAACCTCAAGTGTTGGCCTAGGATCTTTACTGGAATGGTAGACTAGTAAGACAGCGGAAGTCTTGTAAAGAATGATAGTCAAGGTTGAATAACCTGAACACATGAACTTGTGGATAATCAAAGTTAATCTTGGAAAGGCATAACAAGGATTTATTGTTCTAGGAAAGTACCTGTTCGCTAATGTACCTGTTCGTCACTATCGCGCTATGCGCCCTAAATGATAACGAAGAGATGCAACTCTTCGCGTGATTGAAATGACTATCCTCATGACGAGCGCTATTTGCTGACGTCATCCTACGAACTTATCTTCTACAATAGGATTCGACACTATCTATCGATAAACGACTTACAGAAATGCTAAGTATAAAATATATCACAACACTCCCCTTCATTTCTGGAAGTTCGATAGTGTCACTTCTTGAAGATCCCGCAAAGCTTGTTACAGTAATGAAACTTCTGTCGTGTCAGCTTCTTCGTGAGGAAGTCGGCAGCCATTTCATTGGTCGAACAATAGACCAATCGCATTCTCCTCTTCTCGAGTTCATCCTTGACGAAAAAGTAACGCAGTGAAATATTTTTCGTCCTGTTAACGAAGCCAGGTTGGTGCGCGATGCGAATTGCACTTTGGTTGTCGCACTGCAGAGTAAACTAAGTACTCGTCGTCAACTTCGCTACTTCCAAAAGTTCCTGTAGGTAAAATCCTTCGCGTGTTGCTGTGCAGACAGCGATAAATTCGGCTTCAGCAGAGGAGAGAGCAATCAGCTCTTGCTTCGTCCAATTCCAAGAAATAGGCCCGATAGGTTCAAGGCGGTAGATGAATCCAGTACGCGATCGTCGATTAGTAGAGTCAGCAGCGTGATCGGTGTCGACGAAACCGTGTAGGTATAATTTTTTACAGCCGACGACGTTGTAGACTAAACCGAAGTCAGGTGTCGATATAAAATACTGAAGTGCGCAGAGAAGATCGAGTTGATGCTCCTCTTCAGGACGTCGTAGGAACTGAGCAAGTTGACTAGCCGTATAGGCTAGATCTGGACGGCAAATAACGGCGGCGGAGAGTAAACAGCCTAACTGCTGTTGATAAATCTATAAACCGGTTAGACTCAATGGTGCAGTATTCGGTTTGTAGTCAGTCGGTAGCGAGCGGTACGGTGTAGAGACTGCAATAGGAGTAAGGTTGAAGCGGGCAGCAAGTGTCGCTGCGTACTTCGACGCGGTGAGGTGAATAGACGTCGGTGAGCAGGTAATGTTTAGACCGAGAAACTGTGAGACTGTTTCGGAGACGGTAAGCTGTACATTTTTCTGTAGTTTCAGTATGAAGGTATTGGCGAGAGAATCGGTAGTACTGACGTAGAGAATATCATCGACGTAGGCGACTAGTAAAATATAGTTGCTGCCGTCGTTTAGAAGATACATTCCCTGGTCATGCGGTAGTTGTCGAAATCCAGCAGTGATAAGCTGTGAGTGAATGTACTGCTGCCAGAGACGGGGTGCCTGTTTAATGCCGAATAGCGATTTTGTGAGACGGCATACTCTCGGTGGGTTAGTAGTATACGAATGCGGGTACTCTACCAGAATGAGTGCGTCGACGGGTGCGTAGAGAAATGTGTTTGCTACGTCGATTTGTCGAAGTCGTAGATTGCGGCAGGCGGCAACACAGAGTAAAATCCGAACGCTCGTATGTCGACCGACGGGAGCAAAAGTCAGCTCGTAGTCGATGCCGTAAGTCTGCTCGAACCCGCGGACGATCCATCGCACCTTGAAATTTTCAAACGTCTCATCTGCAGTAGTCTTGAGACGGGAGACCCACTTTCCGGTAAGTACCTTTCTTCCTTTTACTTCTGATGTCGGTATTAACTCCCATGTGCCACGACTCTTGAGAGCTGCTAGCTCTCTGTCCATGGCTTAGCGCCATTTTTCTCGGTGGGGACTCGTACGAGCTTGTCGTACTATTTTTGGTTCAGGTCTCTTACTGTCGTTGTACTGTACTGCAACTGCTAATCCAAGTATCTGTAAGCCATTTTATGTAAAACGCGGACGTTCTCCGTTTGCACGTGCGAAATTTCCCCCCAATTTCGTCAGGTGTAACATGGACTGCTTCGTCGGTGACAGCGGGCATCGGCTGCTGTTGGCGATCGCGTTCGTAACTGAGATGGACTTCGCGAACGTCATCCGGATCAGCATCTGCAAGAGGAATAAATTCCGGTATGCCCGTCGACGTGACAGGTTCGGGTATATCTGTTGCTGCAGCTTCGGAGGCTTCGAAAACTGCATCGACTTGTACATCTGCTTTGGCTTCTCTAGTTGCAAATGCACTCGAGCCTTCGAACAGCCTGGTGGGGTTGGCGGCTGCTGCCTGGTGGGCACGGAAAACTGGCAAGGTGAGCCGCTCATAGAAAAGACAATCACGTGAAGGAACGATTTGGTTTGAGCGAAGATCCAAAATTTTCCAGGCGTGATACTGTTTTTCGATGCCGAGGTGGACACCTCATTTTGCCCGTTCTGAAAATTTGCGGAGTGCTGCAGTTGGAGGTCGAAACTGCACGACACACCCAAAAAATCCTAAAAGTTTTGTACTTCCCATTGTACGTGTCCACTGCAGGTGTGGTGAAGAAAACTCGGGCAGTGACATGGAAGAAAGTAGGTTGTGTAACAGCACGGCGTGGTCCATCGCATATGGCCAAAAGCGAGGAGGAAGGGCTGCCTGCGTCAGCAGAGCACACATCTTCCCCTGCAGAGCCCGATTCATCCTTTCTGCTACCCCCATCTGTTGGTGTGCATGCGGCAGTGACTGCTTCCGTTTGATGCCAAGGGTTTGGAGGTAGTTTGTGAAGGTGTTGCTTGTGTATTCCCCTGCGCCATTACTTTGGAATTCTTGCAGTTTCACGCCAAACTCTCATTCAGCGACAGCGAGCCATGCGACAAAGACGGAATGAGCGAGATAACCAGCAGGAAGGTTTGCTGTCCAAACGTAGCGAGTGAAGGTTATCACGTACTGCTCTTGTTTAGGTCCTGCTTTAGGTAAGTTAAGAATATCGCTGTAGAGTTTCTGCATCAGTTTATAACGTGCGGAGCCAGGAAAATGACTTGGAAACGGGTCGTGGGTAAGATTGGCGACCGGACACGTGGTGCAAACCGTCGGGCGAGACTGCGGCTTCATCTCCATGCCGTCAGGTAAAAGAAGACTGTTTTTATCAAGAACTGCTGCTCGAATGGAATGGTTTAAAATCCCTTGCGATGGATGTCCTAACCGCTGATGCCAAATTTCCTTTGTGGCTTTGTGTCCTGATGATCGCAGATACAAACCAGCGTTAGTATAAAACAAAGAAATGATAAAAGGAGAAAGCGCTGGTGACATGTAAGGTAAGTATTTGTTAAGCTATACCATAACTCCTGATCCATTGTATCACAGTTCCCTTGTGTGCGAATCTTGTGTGCCAGGAGTTGTGTTGTGGAGAGAAGATTGAAACCAAGGCCGGCTTCGATAAGAACGTTGGTCACGTGTAAGGAATATCCCGTGTCGACTGATTCGAGCATTACACTCCCAACAGATCTTGCCATAATAGTTTGTCCGTTTACGACTGTGACAGGTATCGGACGACGAAGTGGATGCTGGTTGGTGATGAAGCTCGTTTCAGCGGAGCACATGTGCCAACCTCAACAGCTGTCGAGATACCAAGTATTGGGTCCTGAAATGACTCGAGCAAGGTTATCGTAAACTTGCGGTAAGGGAATGCCTTCAGCACTTGTGGTTTCTTCAAGTCGTGTCTCGAAATCAGTTTCTGAAACATCAACAGTTGTAACACATCCGAAAACCCCTTTTCCTGATGTTGCAGATGGAAAAACCGGAGGACGATGCTGTTACGGAGGTGGATTCTGCTTTGGTTTCTGCATTTGCTGCGTCTGAGACGTCGACTGCTGCATTGGCTGATGTGGCTTTGGCAACTGCTGCGAACGATGATATGGCTGTGAAGTACTGCGTCGATTTTGATGTCGGCTGCAACAAGTTTGGTAAGTGTGTCCTAGTTTCTTGCAGAAATGACAGAAGGGATATTTCGGGGGAAGTCGTTGCTGTGGTTCTGGATTTGAGTAAAAACTTAAATGTATCCCTTTCTTCTGATTGCGTTGTGACTGCAGGTCAAGATCTTGCTACTCTGGTTGAAGATACGAAGAAATCTCGGCTTCGGAGAGGTTCGGATTCATGCGCAGGAAGGCGCGCGTCTGACGCCACTCGGGACCAAGTCCAGCAAGAAGGACCGTGAGATACATCTCATGAGGGAAGTATCCCCCACTCTTCTCCACTTGATCTCGTAGTGTACGGACGCGATTGACTTAATCCATGACATTCTCGTTTGTCATCATCTGCACATTTGTCAACTGCGAAAGAATCTTATTCACTGTTATTGTATCTCTTGCCATTTATACCCCCTTTAAGTGGTTCCATGCAGTTTCAGCTGGCGTAAAGCTTGAATGAAAAGATCGAACGCCGAGCTGTTTCTTTGACGATAAGTTCCGAACAAGAACCGTATACGCCCCGAGAGAGGCGTGCAAAAAACTCTGTTGCTCCTGTTGTGTTCCCATAACAGGATACGTAAATTCGCCGGTGAAAAATGGCCATAGCCCAGCGGACTACGTCAGAAGCTCAAACTCGAAGCTCCATGAGTAAAAATCAACTCCGTTAAAAGGTATGGTTGTCTTGATCTGTGTCCTATTAAGTAAATTCGGTGGTTGAAAGATGATACCCTGTTGAGGCGGTCGCTGTTGTTGCTGCTGTTGTTGCTGTTGTTGATGTTGCTGTTGCTGTTGCTGCTGCTGTTGTTGTTGCTGAGCAGGTGAACGCCCGAAGATGTAGAAGGGCTGCTGCTGCTACGACTGTGGCTGCTGCGCAAAAGGTGAGAAGGCAAATGAGCTAGAACTTGGAGCTGAAGCTCCACGCATATAACTTGAGCCGTCAAGACTCATTCCACTAATCGCTGACGATATTGACTGAGTTGAAAACTGTGGTTGTGCTGTTTCCTGTTGTTGTACTGATGCCTGTTGTTGTTGTTGTTGTTGTTGCGCTGCAGGTGCAGTCGATGAAATCCCTGGAGGATTGAAAGAAGGCGGATTCTGGTGCTGGTGCTGCATACCAATGTGCGCATAAGCCGGTGGAAACGGTCCAGAGGCTGAGAGACCAGAGGCAGTCGTGGAGACAAGTACTCCAGTAGCTCCGGAACTTGATCCGGTAGATTGTGCTGGCGTTGTTCCAGTCATTGTTGACAGTAGTCTTAATTCCAGACAGCTCTGATACCATGTAATAATTTGACAGGTGTTGCAGGAGACAGTGTGTAGAATCTGCAAACACAAACACTTGGAAAACCTCAAGTGTTGGCCTAGGATCTTTACTGGAATGGTAGACTAGTAAGACAACGGAAGTCTTGTAAAGAATGATAGTCAAGGTTGAATAACCTGAGCACATGACTTATTGATAATCAAAGTTACTAATGGAAAGGCATAACAAGGATTTATAGTTCTAGGAAAGTACCTGTTCGCTAATGTACATTTTCGTCACTATCGCGCTATGCGCCCTAAATGATAACGAAGAGATGCAACTGTTCGCGTGACTGAAACGAATATCCTCATGACGAGCGCTATTTGCTGACGGCATCCTACGGACTTATCTTCTACAGAAGGATTCGACACTATCTATCGATAAATGACTTACAGAAATGTTAAGTCTGAATTCTATCACAACATATATAACCGTATCATGGATAGGATGAGGGGCATGCAAGGCCTGTTGCAGCTGCATCATCACATTTATACATGGTCTGGTATTCATGTTAAGGTAAGCCACACCTGAGCAATGACAGGGAGGGTATGCCCACCGAACCGACAAAGGGAAATGGAAACACATGTACAGGAAAGAATGCGGGGAAAGACCTACCGCAGCCTGGCTTGGCATCCACATGCATTAACCCTAGCTGTTTATGAAAGCACCGCTACGCACATGGAAATTGTTGGGCTGAGAAAAGCCCTTAGGATCTTTCCAGAGACGAAGTCCCACTTGTACAAGGTGTTTGAGTAGTGCAGCGGAAGTATTGAGTAGTTGAACCCTTGCACTAGTATGTGAGAGCAAGTGATTGATTGAAAGAAGCAAGCATACAGGAATATATAGAAAATAAGAAATAGGGCAGTTGTAGAATACAGTTGAATAAACGGTTATCGAGTCGCACAGCGACTCGATCCTTGGTTCGGTTACCACCCTTGCAGTCGCAACGGTCAATCGCAACCTCTGGTTGCAACCCTTCGAGTCCCTTCGTCCTTTCGTGTTCTTTCGTCCAACCTCCTCGTGTAACCTCCGTTGACTCGTGTACTCAATACGACTTTTCTTCGAGTGTAGCGTTACACTTCAGAAACGCTCAAGTCTTTGAGGTGTTTCCAACAGAAATAAAGCTTTCCCCATTGCGGGAAGTTGGCTTTTCTAGCCAAGCCAAGAAAAGATGTGTCATTTGAACAACATGCCATGTAGTGCAATGGTGGAAGCCATGCCATGCCATCCCATGGCACATATCATGCTATGGCGTGTCCTGCAATGCTGTCGTGTAGAGCACCGCAGCAGGTTACAGCACCAAGTAAACGCGCGTGCAACCAGCAGAAACGAGTCAAGAGATCCTGGCACCCATCACCTGAAAAGAAAAGAAAGGTGGAGAGGAAAGGTGCAGCCAGGACATACTTTTGAGGCACTTCAAAAAAGCCGGATAAAGAGGCACCTTGAAAATAGACCTGAGTCATGGGGTCGTGGCACCCCTAGCCTGAATAGAAAAGACAGCTGGACAGGTGCAGCCGGCTCCCCATCAGCTGTCCAGGCTGATGAGGTACCTGAAAATGAGAGCCTAGTCATGTGATCCTGGCAGGCACCCATCATCTAGTAAGCACCAATGAATGATGGCCACCTGCCGTACACCATCCCCTCTCATGCCTCTCTTTCCTCCCCCCCCCACCCCCCTTGTGCCTCCCAGCTCCCCCACGCCCTTCAACTCACCTCATCTAGAAACACGGCCAACAGAAACACGGCCCTCTCCACTCCCGCTTTCACCCTACCTCCCCTCTGAGCTCACCTCGTCTAGATCATCCAGTACTGGCGGGGCGTCCATGACATCTAAAAACATGGCCCACTCCTCTCCTATCTCCTCCTCCCCTCCCATCCCAATCCCCATCCCCTCCCCCATGAGCCCTCCTACATCGTCGCCTGTGGTCCCCCCTATAAGCACATCCAGTCCCCCCTGTACAGCTGAAAATTCTCCTATGCCTATGTCACCAGGAGAAAGTAAGGCACTGACATCTATTCCAGATGGTGCTGCTGCTGCTGCTGCACCTCCTCCTGCTGCTGCCAATTCTGCTTCTACTTCTGCTGCTACTGCTGCACTACCTGCCTCTGCTTCTGCAGCAGGATATGGTAAGGAGGTGTTTTGAAGCACGATTGAATGCTGCTGCATGGAGCCATCTCCAAATCCCCAACCCGCACCTTCAGGCTCGGCACTGGCACCCACCCTCTCGCTCCAACCTGCAGCTCGAGGTTCGGAAGCGCTTCGCCCAATACGTTCGGGATAGCTGCACCGGAGGTGCGGTGGACGGGTGGAGTTTTCGGCATCATAATCTCGTCGCTCGGGTAAGGAAGCTTCCTCATGTGGTTGGCGGAAGGTTCCTCCTTCTACACCTCCTAGGTGTACACTCCCCCCCTCCATGCTACCACCGTCACCAGACACACCACCAGACCCACCACTAGCATTCTGCCACCTGGCAGCATCAAGAGCAGCAGCTGCGGCGGCCGCAGGCACTTCTAGTGAACCCCCACTTCTGGCAGCAGCAGCAGCAGCAGGTGCCCGTGCCTGTGGGTGCGCTTCTAGTGGCGTGTTTTTCTGTTTCTTTTCCTCAAGCAGCAGCTGTGAGAGCAGGTCAGCCCGCGCTGCAGGGGGTAGGCTCGCCACTAAGGCCCATGCAGCGGAGTCAGGAGTTTGCTTGCCAGAAATTAAATAACTTAGTAGAAGGTTTTGCTTCTGCTCCTCTGGTGATAGACGCTGCTGCTGCTGCTGCTGAATCTGCAACGCTGACTGCTGCTGCCTCAGCTGCTGCTCTAATCGCTGCTGCTGCTGCCGTTGTTGTTGCTGCTGCTGCAACTGCAATCGCTGCTGCTGCTGCTGCAACTGCTGTTGCACCGGCTGCCGTCCCAGGGGACTCGCAGCTATCCGCTCCCCCACAGCACCGCCACCACCAACAACAGCACCAGCACCAGCACCACCAACACCAGCAGCGGCAGCAGCAGCAGGAGGCATGGGGCGGGGAATGTGGCCGGGCAAAGAGGCGGACTTGGGGAAGAAGCGGGAGGCGGGGCGGGGGAGAGGGGCTGCTGGGAGGGCGCGGGAGTGGGAGGGGGGCAGGGGGTGGGTTGGAGGGGGGGGGAGGCGAAGGAAGGGGATGCGGAAGGAGGGGAGGCGGAAGGGTGCATGGAGTGTTGGATGCGGGACGGCTGGGAGTGGGATGAGGATTTGACTGTGCCTGGAGTGGAAGACATGCCTAGTCTCTGCTGCTGCTGCTGCTGCTGCTGCTGCTGCTGCTGCTGTTTCTGCAGCAGGAGTTTCTCCAGCAGCAGTGCAGCAGCAGCAGGGTCGCCATTGCACCGCTGCAGCAGCATCTGAAGAGTTGCGTTCTCTGCCGCCTTGTGACTACCACCAGCGACACCAGCACCACATCTGCCACCAGAGCCACCAGCAGCCGCATCCGTAACAGTGCCATGCTCCCCCCGTCCGTCTACACTAGCACCCATATCCATTCCCCCCATCCCCCCCATCCCCCCCATCCCCCCCATCTCCCCCACTCCCCCCAGTGCGCCCATCCCATCCATGCCGTCAAAGCCATCCACTGCATCCAGTCCCCCTCCCGCCTCTCCCCCCGTGAATGCTGCCTGCTCCTCGTAATCCTCTCCCACGCCCATGCCCATGCCTATGCCCTCACTCACGCCCATATCCATGCCCATGCCCATGTCTATGTCCGGGCAAGCATCCCCACCAGCAGACCCACATGCATCAAGTGCAGCGGCATACGCATCATCATCAGGGGTGGCAGCGTGGTCACCAGCAGCATGGCCACCAGCAGCATGGCCATGCATCATCATCTGCTCGAGCAGCCACTCCATCTCATCCACCTCCCCACCCCCTCCACCTTCTCTCCCCCCTCCTTCCACCCCTCCAGGCTTGGTCTGGCCGAGCGCAACCTGCGACATCATTCCTCCTTCCCCTGTTCCCATCCCGCCCCCCACAGGCGCCCCCCCTCCTCCCATGCCCCCTCCTCCCATTCCCCCTCCCAAACCTGCTCCTGCCATCCCCCTTCCCTCCATACCTCCAGCCATCTCCCTCCCTCGCCCCGAGCCCCCACCCCCAGGGGAAGTTACAAACGGGCAGAGATTGAGAAACTCCGACAAAAACTCGGGGTTAGAAAGACTGGACACGTGGCGGCTCGTGAACGACGCACTTCTTCCTCCTACTCCTCCCCCCAAGCCCACCCCGCCCGTGCTAGTAGTGGGTGAGGAAACCCTATGCAAAGCCCGGGCGGCAGAAGCGGTGTTTGCAGAAGAGGAGGGGGAGGAGGAGGGGGAGTTGGAGAAGGAGTGGCGGCGCATGTGGGCGGCGGCAGCTGCGCGGGTGATGCCCTGAATGGGGCTCGTGCAGCTCAGGCTGCGCTTGAACAGAGGACTCACCACCATCCTGCTCAATGCCGCCGAAGGATGGCTATACGCAGACGCACCCAGCCCCCCTCCCGCTCCTCCTCCTCCCCCTCCCCCTCCCCCTTCCCCTCCTCCTCCGCCTCCCACTCCACCCTGACCACCACCTCCTACTCCTCCCACCATTCCTCCTACCATACCATTTCCACTCCCCAGAACCCCGCAGGACGGGGAGAGCTGACTGGCGAGAGCAACGCGGTCAGCACTGGAAAGCGTGTGCCGGCGCTGCTGGGCCAGCGACCGGGACCTGCGGTGGGAGGGGGGCTTGTCTGCCGATACAGACGCATAGATGCCTGCATGCTGGTGGTGCTGGCTGTTAGAGTTACCCATGTGGCTGGTGTTACTCATGTGGTTACCACTGAATGGGGGCGTGTGTGCGTTGGTTCCTACAGGGGAGGTGCCTGGGGCGGTGGCATGGGGCGGGGACGTGGCTATGAGTGTCAGTCCGGGCGGCAGCGGTTGTCCTGTGGTGGGGAAGGTGCGGGAGTGGTCTAGTGTGACACAGAGAGCGTCAAATTCGGCCGAGTCCCCAGGGGAGGCTGTGGGGTGGAGGGGAGGGGTGGAGCCAGCTGCAACACCATTAGCAGCAGCAGCACCATTGGCAGTAGCAGCGGCAACAGCAGCAGCAGTAGCAGAAGAAGAATTGAGCAGGTGAGCAGAAGGGTCGTCTGGTGGGGGCAAGCGAGGGCGGGAGGGAGCGAGGGGAGGCAGAGGGACAGGCGGGCAAGGCTTGACACTCATGTCAGGTGAACCTGCAGGTGCCCCTGCTAGCGCTCCTACTGCCCCCCTGGCTGCTCCTCTTGCTGCTCCTACTGCCCCTGCTGCCCCTGCTCCTCCTGCTCCTGCTCTTGCCTCTGTCCCTTGTGCTGCTGCTGCTGCATCTCCAAAACCAACACCGCTAGAACCACCACCAGTGGCACCGCTTGCGCCTGCTCCTTCCCCTCCGTCCATTTCCCCTCCACAGACAGACATGTCGGTGCCGCCAGGGCCTGACGACAACTCACACCCGTCGTGCCCTGCCGCACCATCACACGCATCCCTCCCTCTCTCATTGCTACTACCCCCCTCGTTCTCCCCCGGACGCCACTCCCCAGTGCCCTCCTCTGCCGCCTCACCACCACCACCACAAACCTCCTTCCCTCTCCCACCCATTGTCTGACCCGCAAAACCTAACCCAACTGCACTCGTTCCCCCCTGGTCGTTCCCCCCTCTTTCCCCCTCTCCCGCCCCAGAACCCTCACCTGCGCCAGACCCCATGCCTCCCCACCTCCTACACTCTGCCCCTTGAACCGATTCCCACCTCTCTCCACCCAGGTCACCTGGCGATCCCGTGAGTCCCCCTCCCCCAGCTAAGCCCGCCCCACTGGGGCCTATGCGGGCAGTGCCTACCCCGGTCCAGCCCTCCCCCAGCCTTCCCTGCTGCATTCCGTTCCTAGCTGTAGCAGGGGCTGTAGCGCCACCAGCGGCTGTAGTAGCGGCAGGATCCTGCCTGCGCCCCTCCCCCCACCTAGCTGTCCGTCCCTGCTGCTGCCAATGCTGCTGAAGATGCTGCTGCTGCTGCTGCTGCTGCTGCTGCTGCTGCTGCGAGGGTTGCAAGCCAGGCACACATTCGTCCCCCTTCTCCCCTACTCGCATCCCGCCCTGTCCTCTGTCGAATTCTTGCCCTCTTGGCCCCCCTGTTTGAGTTCTCTGTGCGTCAGGTGTTTTCCCAGATAGCTGCGCCAGCTGGGCCAAGAGCTTAGACGCCTGGGCAGGTGAAAGATTTTCTCCAGAGCTGCCCAGAAGCTTGCTTAGAAGCATGAGGTCGTTCAGTGAAATATTCGGTGACTTAGCTGTGCTCGGTTGTGATTGGCCAGGGGCAGATGGGCGGCAGGGGTTGGGGGAGGTGGTATTTGGGGGAGGCGTGGACTGGTTTGGAAGGGCAGGTATGGCGGATTGCAGGTTCGGCATGGGGGTGACTCGGGGGGGTTTCCGAAGCTCGTCGAACTTGGTTCGGAGCTTCGCAATCATCTCGTTTGTGGGCTTAATCTGCAGTCGGAGTGGTGAAACGGCATGCGAGGAGGCGGAGGGAGAGGGTAAGTGAATGAGAACGAATGGATGAGGGGGGGAAGGGGAGAAGGTTCATGGGAGGGGATGGAAGAGAAGGGTGTGGGCGGAAAGGGAGTGCACGCAGTCAGCCTAGCGTGAAGCCCCAAGCAAAACAAAACGCAGGTGAAGTTGGGGGGAGGGAAGGGAGAGCACACAGCAGCAGGGCCAGCAGAAGTGCAAGCAGGGAAGGCAGGCAGAGGTGGGAGCAGTGGAGAGACATACCGGCGTGCACGCAGCTATCTGAAGAACGCCTTGCGGCACGCCGATCAGGGCAATGACCTGCGATGGTGCGCCATCCACACGGCGAACAGGCACACGGGCAAGGCAAGGGGGCATTGAGAAGGGGGCGGTGGAGCGAATGGAAATCATGTACACGGGGAAGATGCGTGCATGTGAAGCTCGCAAAAGATTCAGAACGGCAGTTAAAGCCCACCTTGACCCCTGCAGCGAACTGCCTGTCCCACTCCTCTGGCTGCTCCTCGTCCCTGCTGCCATCCTGCTCCCACATGCCATGGCGTCGGATGGCGTGGCATGGCATGGTGTGGCATGGCATGGCATGGCACGGCATGGCATGGCATGGCATGGCACGGCATGGCATGGCATGGCATGGCATGGCATGGCATGGCATGGCATGGCATGGCATGGCATGGCATGGCAAGGCATGGCATGGCGTGGCATGGCATGGCGTGGCAAGGCATGGCGTGGCAAGGCATGGCATGGCATGGCGTGGCATGGCATGGCATGGCATGGCGTGGCATGGCATGGCATGGCATGGCGTGGCATGGCATGGTGTGGCGTGGAGTAGCGTGGCATGGCATGACATGGTGTGGCATGGTGTGGCATGGCAAAGCATGGCATGGCGTGGCACGGTGTGGCATGGCGTGGGGTGATGTGGCATGGCGTGGCATAGCGTGGCATGGCATGGCATGGCATGGCATGGCATGGCATATGGTGGCAGCACAGGACACAGATGTGCGGTTAGGGCATATGGGGGAGAACCATGCGACATAACACCAGAGCACGTCCACATATACTGCTTCATTCTGACGCAGGTGCACGCAAAACACCTCCTTCCTTACCAGATGCAGCCGCCCCACTCCTCTAATAGCATGGGTCTTGACCGGCTCACACAGCAGCCGGTACCCGCCTGTCATCGCCACCTTGCCCAGCAACCTGCACGCAGAGGGGCGTTTGGGGGGGGGGGTGTTAGCAGAGGGGCGTTGGGGAGCAGGGGGCAGCAGGAGGAAGCTAGGTTTTGAGACATCTCTAAGCACCCGAAACCCGCCTGTCATCGCCACGTTGCCCAGCAACCTGCAGGCAGAGGGGCATCGGACAGGGGACATTATTGGGAGAGAGTAGTTGGGGCGTGAGAAGGGGGATGGACGAGGGAGGAGGACATGGAGAGCACACCTTCATACGCAATCGGGTCGGGAGGAGGACTGACAATTGTGCGTGCCCAATGCCCATGCAGGCCTGGCATTTTCCCATCCTCGCCGCTTATGTGTGGGTCGCTCGACATTTCCGGCGGGCGGCGGAACCATTGCTGACTCGAGCATCTACCTTCGCACTCACCAGCTCAGACACGCATAGCTATGACACGGGTAGCTGTTCCCTCACTCTCACTCTCCTACCCACTGCAGACTCTGACTCTTCTCACCCGCCGTGGCACGGGTAGCTGTGCTCTCACCCCCCTTGGCACGGGTAGCTGTGCTCTCACCCGCTGCGGCACGGGTAGCTGTGCGAGCGCATGGCGGTGAATTCCTCCTGCAGGGCCAGCATGCGCGCCACGTCAGCCTCCGTCAGCGATGCGCCGGTCGTCTGCTTCTGGTTGAACACGTTGGTGAGCAGAAAGTAGCCGCCCTCCCACGCTAGCGCGGCTCTGAATGGGCAATGGCGGGGGGGATGGTGGTGAGGGGGGGAGGAGGGGACGGGGGAACAATCACGTTGGTTGGTGAGCAGAAAGTAGCCGCCCTCCCACGCTAGCGCGGCTCTGAATGGGGGAGCCGACCATCGGGGGAATGGAGGGGGGAGGGGGCATCTGCAAGGGATCATGATGCATACAGGCAGTGGGATTTGCAAGGGGTGTGCGGAGATGCCGATGGGAGTGCGAGGGGTGTGCGGAGATGCCGATGGGAGTGTCCGTGAAAACGGCGCAGGCGCGGTTCAGGAAGACGGGAAGGCAGGACAGGGGAAACGGAAAGAAAGACGACGACGCGACGACGCGACGCGGTTTCCGTCGAGGTGGAGAGACGGAATCCGACGGTTTCCGTTGCGGTGGAGAGACGGAATCTGACGTTGATCCGAAATACGAGACGCGTGCATTAACGACGACGAAAGCGTTTAGGTCGATCCCGGCCGTCACGGAAGTCGACGGAACGCGCGAGGGGATTTCGCGGAAAACCTGGCTTCGGGAAACTGCAACCCCGATGGCGCTGCAAATCTGTCGCGGGAAATTAAAGACCTCTATCTGGCCTCTCGGGGAACTATTAGAGTACCAGGTTCCGCCAGTTGTCATGCTAACTTCACTCGACTACTCGACACCGCCTCACGAGCTAGCTCCATGCATAATGTCAGGTTTAGCGTTGGACGCCTCCACTGGAGGACCACTGCGCGATTTCGTAACCCTAACTACCGCATTTTCGTAAGGCCTTTCAAACTAAGGACTAGAAGAAAGCGAACCAGCACGTGATACATTCCCGTGACAGCTGTCGCCTCGCCATTGGCAGAGCCCTGACCGTCATGACGGTGCTGACAGAATACCTCGAGAGAGAGAAAACCTCAATGGTCCTGAGAGCGGTCGAACAGGCGAGCTAAGAAATCTGTACGGCTGTTCTGCTGAAACAAAATTGAGACGCGTCGTCGTCGCCAGGAGTGGGCGCGAGAAGGCTCGTGCGGACTGAGCCGGGGAAGGAGAGCGTAGAGAGTTAGGGTGGTCATTACAGTTGCGTCGTGCAGTGGAGCTCTGGAGCTCTCCAGAAGACAGCATACGTCCAGCCACCCTTGTCGCACAACGTGCTCAGCAGTGTCTGCAGACGCGTATCACCCATCTTAACTCCCAGAGCTGCTAATAGGCTAACGCGTAATCCTACGGCGTGGCGCGCTAGCTCAGAATAAATATATTGCTCACGGTTCTGGTATTAGCGGAAACCCCTGTTTATATCGCGGGCGCTTTGTCGGAAAGAGTCGATCAAGTGATTTGCGTAAATGATTGCAGCGCCCAGATTCATATCTGCTACCTGCCCAGCAGGAAAACCAATTTAGTAGTCAGGTGGAAGCTGTAGGAGCAGAAGCAGTAGCAGAAGCAGCTGGGATGTGCGGGAGGCGTAGGAAAGCACACAGCGGCGAGGAGCAGCCATGGATTCAGGGTCAAGGAAGAGAGAATGCTGTGGTTGATTGCGGTGCGGGGGAGGGGGAGAGAGGGTGAGAGTGACCAAAGCAATCTGGCTGAAATGGTGCGTGTGATAAGGATCTATTACCCCGCAAAACCCTTTGCAACCGTTTTAGTTTATCAGCAAATCTCGTTAAAACAGCTCGCACCGTATAAAACCCTTTCTAAAGTGAGCTCCTTTGACGCACTTGCACTGAAACCCATCAGATCAAGGTGGTTGGTGGGAAGACTCCGAGCGCTCCAAATGTGGGCAGAAGAAACTCGGCTTAGAGCTCGCTATTGTCACTAGATCTCAGCTTCGTTCGGCACACAACTGTTTGAAAAGCAGGGCTAGAGGATGACCCATAAAAAAAGATGCCCTTGATTGGCTGTGATTGGTTGGAGCCCTTTCACATATTTTTAGTGGTTCGTAGCTGCCCTACCCTAGCCATGTCCCCAATGTGAAGTGAACCTTGAATCGAAAAATCACCCAAACTGTCCAATGTGCAATAACATCTTCGTTACAATACGTGTGTGTATTATGGTTTTAGCTTCATTCGAGTTGCAAATATTTTCATTGTTGATATATTTGTAGTGCTTCTATGGGTGGAAGCATATTCTGTTGTATTCACTTGATCAAGCCAGTCTCGTCCAGTATAACTTATACAGTAACACTCCGCAGCTCTATATTCATCCCCCACCCCTCCCTTTCATCTGAATCCCATGAGGGCATTGAAGCAATAGGAAAGAACTTCCTAGGTAATGGTTTAGCCGCATGTTTGAGATTTTTCTCCCAAGTGCATCAGCCAACAAGCTCTGGAATATAATGGAAGGAAGCTTGATTGCTTTGATGGTTGCAATCAATCTACACACGAGAAATTAGACCTAGAAAAGAGAGAGAAGCCAGAAACACATCCAAATGAGCTCAGGCAATCTTGCACAAAAAGCATTCCTGCTGCTGCTATCAGTAGCATTCCTGCTGGTCGCACTGCACCACTCACACCTTGACCTTGCCGTTGTAAGCGGTGATGCTTTCCTAGTAGGTCACGCTGTTCACGTCGATCGCTACATAAAAACCCGAGGGGTTCGTGAACAACCCAGAATGCATCAGAACCTTGGTGACGCGCAGTGGCTGATATTTCACAGCAATGGGGCTATCTGTTGAGAAGCAAGGTTAGGAGGTAGGCATAATAAAGTAGCGAGAGGTTTTAGAATATGAGAAAATGTCGAGAGGGAAGAAGAGGGGTTCGACTAGAAGAGAAGGAGATACATGAAGGGGGTTTCCTCTCTACAGTAGGATTTAGTAAGTAGCACAACTACCAAGCCTACACAAAGATACATTTGAATATAAACTTTGATACACCCCCTAGGCTTGGTAGTGGCAAGCCCATCCCACCCACTACACCCCCACATCCTTGCACCCCCATTCCCTGAAGCAGCAGTGGCGTCGATGAGCCGGTCGATTCCTTGGCAAGCGGGGTGGAAACGTCGATGGCGGGTCGCAGCGGTGACGGCGGCGTCCGCGACTGCGGCGGCGGCGATGGCAAGGCGTGCAACACCTGCGGCGGCGGCGGCGGCGATGGCAAGGCGTGCAACACCTGCGGCGGCGGCGTCGAGGCTCCCGACGACGGCAGCGGCGGCGCCCGAGGCACCCAGCGGCGTGGCTCAACCTGTGACGACGAGGGGGAGGACGGCACGAGGTCGCCAATAGCTGCGGCGGGGAGGAGGGGAAGGGGAAAGGGGTGGGGGGCGGATCTTCAGCGCGGCGCCATGACTGCCGCGGCGCTTACTGGCGTGCGGGCGGGCTGGACGTGGCTAACACGGTGCGCGGCCCGCTGTCGCTCGTGCGTTGGCGCGTCGACGCCGCTGCGACAGCACGACAACGCCGCCACGGCTTGACGTCGACAGCACAACAGCAAGACGAGGCTGCCACGGCAACGCGTCGAGACTGCAGCAGCAGCATGATGCGGCCGGCGGCAGGATGGCGCTGCCACTGCAGCACAATGCGACCGCCATGGCAGCGAGAGAGAGAGAGAGAGAGAGAGAGAGAGAGAGAGAGAGAGAGAGAGAGAGAGAGAGAGAGAGAGAGAGAGAGAGAGAGAGAGAGAGAGAGAGAGAGAGGGAGGAGGAGTGCGCGGCGGAAGCGAAAGAAGAAGGTCTAGTAGATTGAACCTGCTCTGATACCATGTTAAGAAGTTAGGTTAGGAGGTAGGGATAGGTAAGTACCGAGAGGTTTTAGGCTAGGAGAAAATGTCGAGAGCGAAGAAGAGGGGTTGGACTAGAAGAGAAGGAGATACAAGAAGGGGGGTTGTCCCCTCTACAATAGGATTCAGTAAGTAGCACCCCCTCACTAGCCGACCCCTTAGCTTACCGGCCCCTCGCTCCCCGGCCCCAGTTCGCGCCGACCCCAGTCCCACCGTGCCGCCGTGTCGAACCGCCGTGCCGCCGTAACGTCGTGCCGTAGTGTCGCCGTGTCGCCGTGCCGCCGTACCGCCGCGCCGCCATGACGCCGTGCCACAATGCCGCCGTGTCGCCGTGCCACAATGCCGCCGTGTCGCCGTGCCGCTGTGCCACCTTGCTGCAGTACCGCCGTGTTGCCGTGCCGCCATGTTGCCGTACCACCGTACCGCCGTATCGAAGTGCCGCTGTGTGGACGTGCCGCTGGGTCGCCGTGCCGTTGTGTCGCCGTCCGCCGCTGTGACCGTGGTGATGGCGGACACTGTTTTTCGCCTGGACGCGGAGGGTCAAGCGATCGACTTTGAGGCATGGCTCATCGGCCTTCACCGTCAGGTGACGGCTCAGTGCCTAGACGGCTATTCCCTGGCCCTCCATGTCGATGGTAAGCTCCCTCGCCCCGACGCATCTGCTGCCCTCTATGACGCCCCCTCCTCTGCTAAGCATGAGACATTTGCTACTGATGAGCTTGCGCACACTGTCTGGGAGTCGCGCGACGCTGTAGTGCAGCTTGCTATCAGTCATGCCCTCCCCCCGTCTAACCGCCCCCACTTCACAGCTGTGGCGAATGCGAAGGAGTACTTAGATGCGGTCATTGCGCGCTATTCCACTCCCTCCTCCGCCTCTACCAGCCGCCTGATCTTGCCCATGCTATTCCCTGATCTTGCACCCTTCCCCATTGTCTCTGATCTTGCCACTCATCTGCACGCCCTTTTGACTAGCTACCGCGCTGCTAGCACTGAGGCCAAGCTCGCTGCATTCTTTCCTCCCCTATGTGCTACCCTTTACCTCATTGTCACGCGCCTTCCTGACCGCCACGCCACTGCCCGCGACCACTTCCTTAGTCAGCACCTAGGTACCTCACCCTTACGGCCTTTGTCACCACCCTGTCTGCGAGAGAGACCCGCCAGCGCACTATCACTCAGTCTAGCAGTACTACGTCGGTCCATATCTTCCAGGGTTGTGCTCCCTCCCAGTGCACTTACTCTAACGTTTCTGCCGCTGTCGCTGAGACAGCCCTTGCTGCTGAGACCAACGCCGTCGCGGCCTCAGCGCAGCCTTGTCAGGGTAAGGGCAGCCGCTACAAGGGGGGCCGTGGCAGAGGGAGGGTTGGTGGGGGTGGCGGGGGTGGTGGGGGTGATGCAAGTGCCAACGGTACCGATGAGGGGACCGGGGCTGATCCCTCGGAGCAGTAGCAGCAGCAGCAGCAGCAGTCGTAGCAGCATTAGCAGCAAACGCAGCAGCAGTCGTGGGGCCGCCTTTCGCCGGGGTGGGCCGATGCCTCTGGAAGTGGTGGCCGCGGTGGCGGCCTTTGCAGCTTGGCATGGGATGGCGGCTTCAGCACTGTGGGTTGCTAGTACCAGCTCCTGACTAGCCCCTTTCGTGGCAATGTGTGTGGCCGTCCCAGTCACACAGCCGCTCGCTGCTTCCGCCACCTTGACGACCTCTTCCGTCTCCGCTTCGACCCTGTGCTAGACCTTTCTGACTGGCCCAGTCTGGTGCGTTGCCGTGTGCCTGCCTTTGAGATGGATATGGATCAGATTTGCTCTGCTTTGCATGACAAATATGCTGATGACTTTAGCGTGACCGGATCTTATTACCTTGTAGTTGCCTAGTATAGGTGTACCTCCTGTGTGTAGTCTAGGCTCCCCTGCTACGTCAGGCGTAGGACCTTCTGCTTTGTTTATCCTAGGCTCCACGCTAGCCCCTCCGCTGCTTACGCTACTGCTTTGCTCTCCTTCACGCTAGACTCTGGAGTGTCTGCTTGCTTCTTCTGCGACCACACTACGTTGACGCCGCTTGCTGCCCCTCTCACCACGTTCCCCCGGGACCCGGTGTCTGGCCTGTTTACGCTTGACACTGCGCCCCCCCCGCTGCATCTACCCAAGTCGCTGCGGCTTGCTCATGTCGGTCGCTCACTCACCCATCGCTTCTGTGGACCCACCACCTAGGTCACCCCACACTCCCGCTTCTGCGTCACATGTCCCGCCACGGTCTTGTCTTAGGTCTCCTTGTGTCACTCCCTGCTCTCACTCCCTTGCCTGCGCCGTTGTGCACACCCTACATCGAGGGACGGCTACACCATGCTCCTCACTACTTCCCGCTCCCCCCTACCTCTGCGCCACTTCAGACCCTGCACCTGGACGTCTAGGGCACATCCCCTGTCAGGAGTGCTACTTTCTAATGCTTGTCGATGACTACACGCGCTACACCACGGTGTTTCCCCTGGAGCAGAAGGCCGACGTACCTGACGTTCTTATCACGTGGGTCGTAGCTGCGTGAGTCCATCGCGGCCTTCCTGTGCTGCGTCTTCACTCTGACCGTGGTGGCGAGTTCGCCTCCGGACGGCTTGGACAGTTCTGTCGTGCGGAGGGCATCACCCATTTGTACACCCTGCCGGACTCCCCCCAACACAATGGGGTCACTGAGCGACGCATCCGTTTAGTCATGGAGGTGGCTCGTACCTCCATGATCCATGCCGGTGCACCCTATTT